CCTGCCCCAGCCCCATGCCTCCCTCACTGCAGGGGCCTTGATCTGCCTTGCCCGCGTTCCTTCCCCATCCTTCCTCCCCTTCTACTACATCACTTATCAGCTGCATGCAACTCTCCGCGCTGCTGGGCTGTGCTCTTCACCGCCTGTGCTGCGCTGCAGTTGCATGCATGCACTGGCCATTTATCAGCCAAATTATTGGCCTGATATGGCCGATTTCTGATGCAGACATTTTTCTTTATATTGGCACCGATCCAATATCAGACCTGTGTATTGGTGCATCTCTAGATTCTATAAGTGGAAAATTATAACAAATCTATAATTTTTCCATATATAGAATCTAATTACTGGGGGGTCATCTTAAATTCAGGGTTGACTTAGATTTGAGTAAATATGGTAAATAGAGGGTTTTGTTTTTTTAACATAAAACACAATGAGAATTTTATATACAAAGGAATACCTTTTTCAAAGATACTCTGGCTCCAGAAATGTTTTGTAGGCTTTTTTTTTTTTTTTTTTTTTAAGTCAATAGCTATCCTTATGCCTAGAAGGTGCCTATGCGTGTGCTCCGATGTGACGTGTTCTAATTAGAATGCTTTAGCATTGCTGCAGCATCACATGTATAAGCCCCTTCAGGTTTAAAAATGGCCACTGGGGCACTTTAACTGAAGCTCAGTAAAGGAGCTTTAGTTAAAGCTTTCCATGGCCATTTTTAAATGTGCAGGGGCTTAATACGTGTGATGATGTGGTGTTTTAATAATAGCAGCTCTCCAGGAATGTCTCCAATTAAAACGTACTCCCCACATACCAAGCACATATGTAGGCACTTGTAGAGTGCAGCGCTTTGGAAACAAAGTCCAGGATAGGACATACATGTATAAGACGGCCTCTGAGACGCTTTTCAATGAATAGTACATCAAAGGCACAAAATGTGCGTGTGTGTGTGTGCGCGCACAGGTCTCCCTCACTCTATGTGGGTTCTGTATGTGCAAATTTGCTCTTATGCGATGACCTGTTTTATACCAAAAATTTGTTATAGGTGAGGTAAGTTCACTCAGATGTGATCAGTATGGTGGAAGCTTGCAGTCAGCTGCCTTGTGCGGTGCATTGTGGGAGTGACATGCACCAAAATAGTCTCCTGTGTGGATCTGTGCCCCTCAGTCATTGTCTGCAACACGTTTCTGTAGTTGCCAACCCCATTATCACCACCACCCTGTGCTTGTGTGTGCTGCCTGCTGTTGGTGAGTACCAAAATTGTCTTGTAAAAGTAGTAGAAATGGGCCTGGGGGTCAGTACAGCCTATGTCTTGGAACGTATCCCTATTTGTTACTTTGTAAAGTGGTTAGCTTTATGTGAATTCGAGTTATGCGCCGTTTTCCAGGAACACATGTACAGCATAAAGTAAGGGAAACCTGTATTACACTAATTTTATCTTTTGGAGTATGTATTCCTAAAATCATACAGAGCAAGAAATAGCAGTACCTAAAGACTGTTCTCATTAGTATTTCCCATGGCTGAAATCTTTGCTTTGTATCCAAAACTGCTGCTCTCTTTCTTCCTTTGTATGTGGAATGCATAATTTCCTATGTTAATAGTCTTGTAGCTTTCTTTATGAAGTTCAAAGGTGCCACTAACTCTGCAATCCTTTTACTATATTCAAAGTATATACTAAGCTGTTTTTAAAAAGCATTGAAGAGTCACAAATCTAGGGCTGTGCGAAGCTTCGGTCACTGATTCGATTCAGCGGAGATTCGGCCCGATTTGGTGGCCGAATCTCCAAATACAAATTGACTCAGAGGACCCTTTAAACTCTCTGAATCAATTCAGACCTCTCCAAATCAATTCGGACAGATTCAGTGATTCAGACGTAGATACAGCTTTAAATGTTTTCTTTTTTTCATACCTCGAGGTAGTAGGGGCTCTAAAAGCTGCAGTGCCTGGGCAGATGCAGTGTCCCACAGAAGCACTAGGGGGCTCCCCAGTGCGCTTGGTCAGACAAGAGTCAAGACCAGGGGTGGGCAAAATACGACCCGTGGGCCGGATCCGGCCCGCAAGGCCATTCTATCCAGCCCATGGGGCCCCTAAAAAATGTAGAAAATTAATTTCTCTGCCCTTGGTTCCTATCAAAAATGACAGGAACCAAGGTCAGTAGGGCCCAGGGGAAGCCCAGGGGACTCCAAGAACAGGCCCCGCCCCTGCCCCGTCCCCCCAGCCAGAAGCCCTTGCTGGGACTTCTGGCCTGGGAGCACGTGGCTGCCCTGTGTCGGAACCGCAGGTAAGTGGTGGGGCGGGGGAACCCTGGGCGGGGAAGGAGCATGGGGTGGGAAGACCCTTCCCCGCCCCATGGCCGGCACCCTGTGCTGCAGCTGCTTGCAGCTAATGTGGGGCTGCCTGTGCCTGCTCCGGACAGCCCTGTGTGGGCTGCAAGCAGTTGCAGCAGGGAGCGCCGGCCACAGGGTGGGGGAGGGGCTGCTCCTCCCCCCTGCCTCCCCCCGCGCTCAGCTTTCCCCTGGGCTCCTTCCCTGTGTGGAGAAAAGCGACCCCTCACCCACCCCATGGCTGAGTCAGCTCCCCCCTCTACCTGCTGGTGCAGCCCAGCCTGGCTCCACAGACCTCTGCTAGCCTGCGCCCCGCTTTGGGCCCCACCGGTGCTGGCCCTGGGACATTGGTCCCAAAATGGTGACCGGGGGGCGGGGCACCTGTCAAGGGGCAGGAATACGCACACAGCCCTCCACAGCCTGCCAAAACTGGGTAGGCGGTCCTCCGCCCAAAGTAATTGCCCGTCCCTGGCCAAAACTGTTTCCCATGCGAATGTCAGCATGTTGGAAGAATAGCTATGAACAGGGTGATGCTCTGATTCTTTATGAACTTCGCCTCATATGATAGAAGCTCTTCCAGAAAATATATTTGGATTGTGTAACTTCTGAGCTATATGGAAGGTGAACTCAGAGGTTGAATTACTCCTCCTGTTCTAGACAGGTGCTTACAAAGGGCTGTGAGCTAAATCTTTAGGTGGTTTGGCATCTGTGCAGAAGGAGACCACTATTGGTTGTTATATATTTGTTCTTCAGATTTATTCCCTGCTTCCTCCAAATAAGATTCCTTACTATTTAGATTCCATCTCCTTTACTCAGCAGCAGTGATACCTTTCTGGAATGCCTTCATGAAATCATGGGCAACTGGTGCCACCTTAGTCGGGGTGTACATGCCCGCCCCAGCAACCAGTCAGCGACTGTGGGGGGTGGGGGGGGCAGCCAGTCTTGCTGACTGGGAGGCAGGCACGGCACTCCCAGAAGTGGCCATGATGCTCCATCCGACGTTCCTACTCGGCAGCCAGTGCTCCTGCCTGCCCCCATCGCCTAAGCGGGTAGCACGGCCTGTCAGGGGGTGCACGTGCGCCCCTGTGCACCCCCTATGTGTCGGTACTACATGAAATGTTTCTGAGCAACAGAATAACAAAGTTAAAGGTTTTTTAATGATTTACCAAGATTTCCTTTCTGTCCACTGTCCAAAAATAAAGCACCTCAGAATTTTCTCACTGGGTTACAAAGAAATGCTTTAGTTTAGACCTCTTCATCTGCTTTAGGAGCAGACTTGAATGTTAACTGGTTTTGGTGTGGTTCAATTTGTCATCTTTCCCACTTCTTAATTAATTTTATCCTGGAAATTGACAGCGTTTCCTTTGCCAGAAGTCGTTGTTAATATTCCTGTGTGCCTATTGCTGACTTGCTGAGCCAGGGAATGGTGTGCTGGAACATCCTGTGTACATGACTCCCTGAACCAGAAGTGGTGGAGTTGCTTTACTGTGACATGCCAAGTGAAGCTAATGAGGTGTGTTGAATTACTGTAATTACTCAAATCTAAGATGAGGATTTTTCCCCAGTCAGCATTGCCAGGGGAAGCCTTACCTTGAATTTGAATACCCAACCCAGGGCAAGTGGCACCTCAGCTCCGGCTTTAGCCTTGGACAGGAATGGCTCATATGGTGTGGGAGGGCCCGTGCAGTTATGCAGAGTGT